CAGTGCAATTGCTTTGACTAAATGAAAACAAACCTAATGCTAGGCTATTTAATGAGGTTTCTGTATGTTATAAACATGAGCTCAGTGAAAATATGTGATTATTTGACAACACGAACGTTTTCACATGGTACCCTGGAAATACTGAGGTTTAATTCTCAGAAAAGTTGAGATAAATACAAGTTTGATTGGACCTTTGACATATTTCACTGTATTGTTCCTATTTATAAGATGTGTTTTAGGAGTCTTAACCAATACAGTTTGAATTCTTCTTAAATACCTCGGCCTTACTAGTCACACGAGCTCAGTTGTGCAGTCTTGTTCCTTTGACTGTGGAGAATCTCAAGGTCAAACCATTTTTGTCTGTCATAAATATAGAGACCTTTATGAATGACATCATTTCATCTCATCTGGTTTACTGTAACGCTTTGTTTTTGTTCATGGTAAAAAAACCAACTTAAACTGTAATTAGTATAAAAAGCAGGTTTTTACATGTGCCATCAAACAAGACCATATCACACCCATTCTGGTGTTTTTGCCAGTGAATTTTAGAATTTGATTTTAAAATTGTACTTATCTTTAAAGCCAGGATAGTGCTGGACCTGAGCTAAATCTAAGACCTGCCACGTTTCATGAGGTCCACAAACATAGCACTTATGGCTGTTCCTATGACTAGAAACAAAGCAGATCAAGCATTTTTCTGTCAGAGCTTCTAAACCATGGAACATGGAACAGCCTCCCTGAAGAAATCAGGTTGTTTGAGTTTGTCTCATCTTTTAAAACACTTCTTAAAACACATTTACAAACTGGCTTCCTGTACTCTTTTAACACATATATTATTTGCCCGGCTTTTGAATATGGAAGGGTGGAGTTGTCTCCAGCAGCCCTATCCACACCCTAGTTACACTGGATGGTGAATTCCTTTTGCTTGTTTGCCATGTGAACTGTCTTTCATAAGATTTTTTTTCACACTGTTGCTGTGATGCAACTGGCCATGCCCTCAAGTCAGACACTTTGTTCACTGCTGGGACACTTAACTGTAGACACGCACATAATTGCGTGAGTGCTGCTGGTCTGCTCATAGGGGACTGACTTTTTTTATTTTATTTCAACCACTTAAGAAGTAAGACTCTGGCTTTTGTATCTAACTTTACAGCACTTTTGTGACTACATATTATAAGGATCATTGTGTTTTTTGAAAAACATAACTTGCAAATACGTTTTGCAGTCTAACTATAATTAAACACAGAACTCCAAAAACGTTCATCGTTTTACAGGAAGTCAAAATGGTATGTAACTGCTGTTTTTTTACACTGGTTCATTCTTCTCGTCTTAACATATGATTTTTACAGTGTGACTACTGTGACTTAGATTTTGCAAGGTGTGTATTATGATTCTTTTGTATCAGGCCTTTTAGGCTGTTCTTTGACACACTGATATGGTTTTTATAATACTTGTGTAGTCAAATATAGTCACTGCTGTTTCACACTGCACTTTACTTTAATGTTGGATAATAATAATGCAGTTCTTAATGATTATGAGTCTCTTTATGGACCTTGTTCTGCTTTATTCTTTTACTGTTTACATATGTACAGCTACTAAAGGTAAGTGACCCTTGAGCTGTCTCAAGGTTAGTTATTAGTCATCCCACTGCAGCCTTATTGTTTCACCAGTGTGTTGTTACCTACAGATTTAAGATAAGGATTAGAAAATAATCTTAAAAGAAGACCATGAGACCAAAAACAGATTATTTAGTCATTAATGTAATGCCTAAAGTCACATACACTTGCACTTAAAGCTACAGTATGTGACTTTTTAAAATATTTTTGTAGAAATATACTCTAAATATGCTCCACTGGCAGCAGTGCAAAGATATTAACTTATAAAGGGTTTTGAGTAGGATTGTCCTTTCTAACCAGTCAGAGATTTTCAGTTCTTTCTGATTGATCAGTAGGTTTTGTTTCATTCTCATTTATTTTAATTTCATAAAGACAGATATCTGAAGAGCTGGGCAGAGCGTGGTGGAGCGTAGCTGATCGTAGTGGAGCGGGGACAGAGAGTGCTGGGCAGAGCCCAGTGGATGGATTTGGAGTGTCATACTGCAGCCTTTATTTCTTTGGAATAATAGCTTTATCTAATACCTGTATGCCATTTTTATCCATATTTTTTCATATGTACTTAATAATTCCCTCTTAAATAAAATGCAGTTTCCTTTACAGTATGGGTTTTTCTCCTTGCTCCCTGGACATATTTCCTGTGATTCTAATAAGTGTCAAAACAGAAATTATTAATATTGTACGTACATACACTGTTGGTCATTCTGTCATCTTGTCCCTGTTCTAAAATTTTACCTTTATTTTGTTAATTCAGAGTTTTACAACTGAATAAGTTATGTTTAAGTAATTTATTGACTTCAACCTAAACTCAAGATTGTCTTTCTTCTGTCAGACCTCAGAGAAAAAGGGAGTGTTGGATCGACTCAGCAACTTCTTCCACTCCAAGAGAAAGAAGAGCAGTAGTAGGCAGCATTCAGACACCTCCACCAATGGAGGTTCCCCAGCATCACCTCAGTCTCAACCGGATGATGGGCAAAAGACTCCAACTCCGTTTCGAAAGGACAGTGAGCTAACAGGGCCACACTATGAGTCTCAAACAGGAGCAGAGCATAGTGACACTGTCAGCCAAAGCTCCATTCCCAGTGCCTCAAGCATGACTTCTTTTTCGGCAGATGAAGCAGAGTTCCCATTTGCAGACAGTAACAGCAGTGGCAGAAACAGTGTGAAGGAGATGAATGTGGTCGGCACAGAAAGGAATTCTTGTGATTTGACTTCTACCACTCTTGACCTTACTGAAATTGCTCAGGTGAGTGCTCGTCCGAGCTCAGAATTAAGCTTGACAGAGTCCGTAGTGGAGGAAGTAAACAAGAGGCTGCACGTTAATTTGGAGGAACGCATCCTGAAGAATACAGAAGGTTCCAGTGAGGACGGTAAAGTTAGCCCAACCACACTGATGGCATTTACGATTCCCATTTCCAAGGAAGCTGAGGTCTCAAAGTCATCTAAATTAACCACTATAAGTTTAGCATCAAAGAAAGGAACTACAAAGGTCGGAGATACAGGGCACAACACTGACCTAACAGAAATAACATTAAGCTCTCACTCATCCACCTCACCCCCTGATGTGACTGAACAGAAAGACAAAGACTCTCCAGAATTAAAGATGGAAAACTCAAGAGCTAAAAGGAAGACTCGGAAAAAAAGCTCTGGTGAAACTGCAGCCATGTTACGGAGCCCTTCACTTGAGAGAGATGATTCTCCTGTCCAACTCTACAAAGCCATATGGGTAGAAACATACCTAGGAGAGGAGGAAGACGAGAGGGAGGGGGTGAATGAAAGGGATACAATGAAAGAGAGGGAGGAGGACTTAAGAGCAGACTCGCCTCCTGTGCTGGCTATGCCTGTCACAGTCATTTCTGAGGACGACTCAGTCACTCGGGACGCTGCAGACAGCCCTTCTACTCCCTCAGAGACTTTACCGTCCAGTGGCAGCTTGCCAGAATCAGAAATCTCCTTGGCACCGACCACAGGAGAGCTCCAAACAACCTCATCACTGCCAGAGGAGCCTGACACTGGTACAGACTCAAAGCAAAGTTCTCTTCAAGAGAAACGCAGTTTGAGGGAAATTCGTGTTACACGCAAGACTGTGAATCTTCCTTCAAAGCAGAAGATTGATGCCCAGAAGGTGTACATAAACCAAGAGCCAAGTTTGGATGGGAATGGAGGGAAGGAACTGACAGGAGGAGAGACCAGCAAAGATTCAACTTCGAAGATTCTGGATACAGGAGAAGTAAAACTGTGAGTATCTGTCTATTTTACTTTTCTGCAGTTATGGTTTGATAGTCCCTTTGATGCTGGGAGAAACCATAAGCAGGGGGAGCTAAAGTGAGGTAAGCTGACATGCAACCTGAGCTTCAAGTTCCCATGCTCTATTGTACCAGAGAACAATACAGGCTAAACCTGACATGAAGCACTGAAATATTTATACACAGTACATCTAATTAGACAAAAACTGAAGAGGTTTTTTTTCTACAGAACCATATAGATTAGGTTTAAAAAGTAACTATCACCTACTGAACAATAAATGTGGTAATACATCAGGATTTTATTGTTACACTTGAAATGTAGCTCTCCTTTGCTGTGACCTATGGTGAATATTCACTACCTGAATAAGTTTGTCATTGCAGTACTTGACAGGCAACTGCCAACTAATGCCTGCACACTTTTGTTTGATTTTAGGATTGCATGGAAACACTTAAACATGTCTCTAGACAAAAAGGCATGGCATACTGTATATATAGACACTGTTCTTAAAAGAGAAATGAATGAATAGTGGTGCAACCATGGTAGTAGCTTGTAAAATTTATTGTGCACTCCTGGCTATAGATGGTCCTGCCTGAAAATGTCCTGAACACTAGGACTGATTTATGGTTTGCAGAACTACTGAAGGGGTATTCTTAAGCATAGCCAAAGTCATAAACCTTTAACTGTAGTTTCCATTCTGCCTTTGAGTACTGTGAAATAGAAGTCTCAAGTTTAAACTGTCTCTGAGGACACCAAAAACTTTTGAACCTTTGAGAAATATAGCCATTACCATGCTGAGAGTTAGATGAGACACCTGATACCACCCTCATATAGCCAGCATGGCTTTGTCCAAAGGTAGCAATATCCACCTAACACCACTGCTAAAGTTTCAGTAATTAATATGTTATGTGTGGTTTGTTTATTCCTTACACCAACTGTGTAACCGTAAAAATGACAGTTTGCAGTTCGGCCAATAAATACTCCAGCATATAATCCCCTCGCAAAACTATCACTTTGTGTTTTCACTCTTGTCCAACCTTTATGCTAAGTTAAGTTACAGCACATATTTATTGTATAGATATGAGTGGCATTAATCTCATTTAACTCTATGCTAGAAAGCAATCATTTATCCACCTCAATTTTGAACTGTTCCCTTAAATTAACTCACTTGCATATATGTATTTTTTCATTCAAATTGCAGAATAAAATGAAATGTATTCTTTTTTTGAATGGCCCCTGTCGGTGCATTTTAATATTTTTCAAAATAATTGTACTTGTATAAGTACAGTATTTGAATAAATGTACTTTAACACTGCACCAACGATTGCCTGTGTTTATAAAAGTAACTCTAAAATATTTTTGTGTATGCCTCCCTCTCCTGACAGACTGCCAAGCCTCCAAAACAACCACAATGAGGAACTCAAGGAACCCAGCCTTGAGTCATTCACAACAGATGAGACTACACTTTCTGAAACAAATACTCCTGAACCTCTAGTTAAAGACAAAACAGAATCAGAAGCCTCTGCACCCTCAGACATGTATAAAGCAAAGTTGCAAGAAGTGGGGTTCAGGGTTAGAGGCCAAGAAACAAATGAGGCTACGCACTCCAAGCAAGGGCTTAAAGCAGCAGCGGAAAGTGGGCATACCACAGCAAGTGGAGCAAAAACATCATCTTCTGCAGCTGGAAGCAAGACCAAAATTGTCACAACAAAAGCAAAGAGCTCCACAGAAGGCACAAAAGTAAGAACCTCCAGTGACACTCCACCACGGAAGGAACAAAGCAATGACAAAACAGTTTCTGTGTTACCAGTATTAAAGGAACAAAGGACCAATGGTTCCTCAAGTGCAATGAACTCAAAGTCTAAAATTCCCAAAAGGTCTACATCAGATGCTGATGTCAAACCAGGGACACCAGATAAAACATCAGTTATGGATGCCTATGAGACAACAGTCACTTCCAAACAGCAAAAACAGACGAAAACCAAAGAATCTTTGAAATCTCCAGTGACTACAAGAGCTGGCAGGAAACCAAGTTTTGAGGAAACTAAAGGAGGGAAACCTGTTTCAGGAGACATTTCTCCCACAAAAAACACAAACAGAACAATAACAAAGCCTGTTAAAGAAAAATCAGATGAGGCCATTGACTCTGTAAACTTGATAATTGGTGTGGAGGAAGAGCATAGGGAGTGTAGTGTTAAGACAGGACACCCACCTGGCAGGGAAAGCATAGATGTAAAGAAACAGCAGCAGAATCGTATGGAGAATACAGCCCCATTGCCATCAAAGACTCGGTTGCCCATTTCATCTCCAACAATAAAGAAGAATGATAATATGATACAAACAAGTGCCACCAACTATAAAAAAAATTCATCTGGCCAGATAGACTCAGACAGACCCAGCCCCGAGCAGCAGGAAGTCCCTACTGAAGAGAGCTCTGGAAGTGATACGCCACCCATGCTCCCTGACAGTCCCAAGAAAGGTAAGATGCTTTTGTTTTTATATGAATTAAGCAATCAAAACAAAAAGCTATTTGGACGTGCTTGTGGGTGGTTTATATTTATAGCTTTATATTTACTAGTATCAGTTTTTTTTCATAGAAGTCTCAACAAGAAAGCAAATTAGCTTATTTCCCAAATTGCTGAAATATATGCACCTTGAAATTGCTCTTTTGATCTATTAAAGCACTGTGTTTATGTGTTTCCTACAGGAAGCATGCTGTCAATGAGACCATCCAAACACCTCTCGAAAAGAAGCATTAGCTGTGAAGAGAGGGACGCAGTCACTGTAAGTGTCTCCCCACCTGCCCCCAAACAAGAGAAAACTGTCACATCAAGAATCTCCAAACAGAGCGAAAACATCAAACAACAACAAAAGAGTCCAGTAAAGGATTTAGCTGATCCATTATCACCAGTGAGCAAGCTTCCTACACGGAGTCAAAGAAGCTTTAACAAATTAAAGTTTAAAAAACCTCAGCATCCCCCAACTGAGCATTCTCCTACATCTAAACAGGACTCAAGTCAGAACACTAACACTGAGACAGCTGTCAAAGCATCTGACAGAACTGTAGCAGATAGAGTGACGGGCAGCACCAGTGGTGATGGACTAAAACTCAAGTCTGTGTCTACAGAAGAAGAAGTACACATTATAAAAGCCATAGACAAACAGTCCAGTACCAGTGATATCAAACTAAAAGGAAAAGAAACAAACAAATTAGAAAACACAACCAGTCCTACAAGGGAAGAGATTTCAATAATCCAACCAATACAAAAAAATGACACAATGATTACAGCACATGCTCGCGTAGAAATGACACCAGTAGCAGAGCCAGTATCTAAGGTACTGCCTAGCAGTGAGGTTCCAGCAGTTCCAGTTCAGTCACCAGTCACTGATTTAATTAATGTGGAGACAAATGAACAGCATGGAGATAAACAACAAGTAAAAATGGAGTCTTCCTCTGAAAATATATCTCATATTCAAAGTGATGGTACCACACAGGAACAGCAAACACTATTATTACCAGAACATTATCCAGAAGAAGTAGGTACTTTAGAGACAACCCAACTAGTAAGTAAGATAAAACCAGGTTTAATCCAGGAGAAAGAGCCATATTCTGTAGTGTCGACTCAGGACACACTACCAGCTGATATGGATGTAACTGATATGGCAGCCAAACCTGTTGTTGACAGCACACAGTGTGACCTAAAGACCTGCTCTGAGGAGGAAGGTGTTAGACCCGATAATGTTTCCCTTAAAACAACAACCAAGACGACTTTTAAAAAAGCGGCTAAATTGGCCTCAGAAGACCAAGATGCTGAGCTAAAAGATTTACTTCCATCCCCCTCCCTTGCTGCTTCAGCTGATGCTAACCTGGTCAGTACAGACCAGCAAAAAACAGAGTTATTTAAGGATCAAACCACAAATATAATTCTCAGAAATGATGGATTACCCTCCACATTATGTATAGATTCAGTGAAAAATGTTGAGGTAGAGGAGAAAAGAGAAGAGGAGGTTGCCAGCAAACTACCAGAGGCTTTGGACATTCACACAGAGACTGTCACTGTTTTTGAATTGCCCAAGAATGTTGAAAATCTGCTGAACAAAGAAACTCTTTTACTGGCAGAAGAATTAGAAAGACAGGAGAAAGACTCAAGACCAAAAGAAAAGATGAATGATGCAGCAGAGCAAAGGTCTGAGTTAGAGAGCAGTTACAAAGAGAAGCCCAAAGGCACAACTATCAATGATAAAGCAGAGAAAGAAATTAGAAAACCAGATAAACTATCTGATCTGTCATCAGAGGAGAAATATTTAAAGCATTTGTTAGAGAAGGGACCACAAAATATAGTTTCAGGTGCCCTGGAAGAGAAGAGGACTGAGGCAGAACAAGCAAGAAGTATACATCATGAAACTACACAGCGAACAGAGCAACAGATGAAGGCATCAACAGTGAAAAATGAACAGGAGCCCAAACTACTAAGCAAAGATAACGAGGTAAAGGACGACAACACAAATGAGGAGGACAAACTTGATGATGGTGTAAAGGAAAGCTATACTCCAGAAATAAAAGCTATAAGCCAAACAATGCAGGGTGATAAAGGTAATAAAAAAGGGAAGATTTTACCAAATCAGATTTCTAAAATTAGCAACCACAATGACAAGCAAGCCTTAATTGCTAAAGAGCAAGATGAAGATATTCAAAAAACAAAGGAAAATGCTAGTAGAGCAGCAGAATCCAAGTGTCCAAGTGCTAACCTAGAACAGCAATCTGAGACACACAAAACTCCAGAGAAGACAACAGAAAGCCATATTTTACAAGTGGACACAACTCAGGAACTAATGCCAGTAAGCAGTGAAGCTCGGAGCACTGAAGAAAAGACTGAAACAAAAAACTCATCACTAAACAGTTTGGCGAATGATACTACAGTGAGGCTGAACACTGACCAGAGGTCTGTAATTGATGGAGACCAAGATGAGGACATAACAAAGCCAGACAAAAAGAAATTAACAGAATTCAAATGTCAAAATTATAAGTTAGAACAGGAACCAGATGGAGAAAGAGCTACAGTTCAAGAGAAGACACAGCAGAGCTTAAAAACCGATACAACTCAAGAATTTAATCCATTAAGCACTAGTACAGATGGTACAGAAGAAAAGGTTGAGATAAAGCATTCATCCTCAAAGACCTTGGTGAATGAGGCTGGAGACAAAACTGCTAACTTAGAAGTCAGCAACCAAAAAGGGCCTGTAGTTGTTAGCAACCAAAATAAGGACATGGAAAAAAGAGAGCAAAACAAAACAACAGAACCTAAACATCCAAGCTCTAACCTGGAACAAGAGCCAGAAACAATAACAACAAAAACTCTGGAAAAGACAAGGGAGAGCCTAAATGAGAAAATGGATATAACTGAAGAACTTGTAAGCACCAGTGCTAAAAATACCAAAAGAAAGACTGAAACAAAAGATTTGTCAGTAACTCTTACAGACCAAGATGGGACTATTACAAAACTAGAGAAAAACAAGTTGACAGAATCCAAATGTCCAGATACTAACCATAGACAGGAACCAGAGACTGTAAGAACAGAGAAGACCTCAGAAAGCCACATTCAAAACGTGAAGGTTTTAAGTGCCAAATCGCAGAGTGTTGATGGAGCTAACGAGAAGACTGAAGCAAAGGATTTACAAAAACAGTCTTCGTTAAATGAGACTGTAATTCAGAATGCTAGTTCTGACAAAAGCACACAAAAGGACCAGAAGCCCCCAACTGTCAAACATGAATATGTAGAGAAGATTAAGAAAGCAGAGCAAAACACGGATCAGTACGTATATTCCGAAGCTCCAAATGCTAACAAAGAACAGGAACCAAAGACTGTAACAAAAGATTCTACAGACATGACAGAAGCCAGATTACTTGTTTCCACAACTGAAAAAGTAGTTAGTAAGAGTAGCAACACAGAGAAACAGAACTACCTTATTAAAGAATGTGTTCAACAAGAGAATAATGTAACAAAACAAGATGATCAGCAAATAAACATATCAAAGACAGATGTCAAACAAGAGTCAGAATCCATTTTTGTAAATGATGCATCTAGCAAAAAGGTTGGTGGAGAACAAACGGGCAAACCCAGTGTTGTTTTAGATAAAATAGCCATTAATACTGATGCTCAGAAGAATGATAAAGACATCAAAGAAAACAAAAAAACAGATAGTGGTTTGAAACCAGAACTGCAAACAGTCAGTAGCAGTTCCTCTCTTCCTGCTGTGGCAAAACCATCCACTCCATCTCAGAGTCTTGAGCTAAAGAAGCAGTCTCCGTCTAGTTGGTTGGATGTGGAACATCATCAAAAACAGAAGAAACAACACAAAAAAAGACTGGATGCATCAGCCAGTGAGGATGAATCTCTTGAACCTGATGACATTGATGATTTCATCAGGAGCATTAAGGAGGGTGGAATTCCTTTCTCACTACCTCCAAAAAGGCACATTCGTAAAAAGTCCCCATCTCCATCTCCCCATTTTGCCCTGCCTGCCATCAAGGAGGACCATTTTGAGAGAGCACTTGATCCTGATGAATTCCAGTTTGGCTTAAGAAAAAATAGTAAAAGCTTTAGGGATCCATCTCCAGCTATGGTGCTAAAACAAAAAGCAGCCAATAGGGAGGGACGGACCCTGAATAAACGTGCACAGGGCACTGCCCTGCTCACACCTAGAGACCAATTAAATTCGCTTGGTGAGGAAGAAGGAAACGAGGGGACCAAAGGTGAAGGAAAAGAAGATGGACAAAACAATGGAGGGGAGTCAAGGAAGCTGACATCAAGGCTTGAAAGGATGTCCATCCTCTCAAGCATACTGAATTCCCCTCGGCCCTCCAGGAAGGCTAAACAGGAAACTTCCTCTGCCTCAAATAGTTCACTTTCATCAAACCAACAAGAGGACCTACCCTCCCTTCGAAAGTGGGGAGTGGTTGATTTGCCTCTGCCCAGCGTCAGCACAGATAAAGAGGGTGTGAAAAGTATAGGCGTAGATCAAGGACCACCTGTGGGTGGTGGTGGTACAGGAACAGCTAGTGAGTCATCTCTTAGGCCCTCCCCTCCTCCTCTACCCCTGTTCTCTAAGATACAGCTGCCTGATCATTTGGAGAAAAACATTAAGAAGGATAAAATGGAATATGATACCTCCCAGGGCTCTACACAGACGACGCATACTAAACTGAACCATGAGGGGAGTGCTGTTATGGACCAGGCCTCAATAGCAGGAGTACCTAATGAGGATGTGGGGCTGAAGGACCCCCCTGCACCTCCTCCAACCACCAACTACAGCCAGCAGAATCTTCAGAATGGATGTTCTACAACGAAGACAAAGGTATTTGAGCATTTTAAATGAAGAGCTCTTGTAATTTTGCTTTCAATTAGGTATTTTAGTAATTACTAATAGCCTTTATGAAATGATAGTCCAAAACCTTAATGGGTTTTGACCTGCCGGGCTTTTATACAAAGTACCAGTATTTCCTAGTTTACTTCCGTGGTAATGTGTGTCCTAGTTTCATATCCTCTTGATTTGTTTTGTGACACTGTTGCAACAAAGCCGTGACTCATTTGCAAGTGAGGACAGGATAAAGGAACGTTCTCGGTCTGGAATTTTGCACAAGAAATCTTTGCAAAGATTAACTCTTTTAAAGCTCAGCTGTCATGTTATAAGATATTTGTATCACCATGCAAACAAAGCAGAACTATGCAAAACCACGTATGTGTTTGAATTAAAACAGTGTGTTTGTTTTTGTCCCTTCAGAGTTTGTGCATGACAAGACAATTGTTTTGGTTTAATTGCATCAAAATATATGTTCTGCCTGGGTGATATCCATCCTGGGTACTTAAGCAGTTGCTAGGTGGTAAAAGGAAATGAAGATTTTATTTGAAAAATCCAAATTCATAAATAACAGAAACTGTGAGCTATCTGCAAGTGCTAAATTAATGGAACAGTTAAAATTGTTAGCTTAAACTAAATGATTGTAATAGTTACTGTAGCAAATGGATAAATAGTTGAAATACTGTAGATAATGCCAAATGTATTGTATGAATGATATTCATGGCTAGTTATTGGATGCTATAGCTGTTAGTAGTACAAAACTGACCTAGCCACTGAGAGTTGAATTGTGTGTGGGGGGGTGGAATCTAATAATAATACACAAATTTATATTAGTGTTATGAGAAAAAACCTGCCTTAGCCACTGAGAGTTGAATTGTGTGTGGGGGGGTGGAATCTAATAATAATACACAAATTTATATTATTTATAGTGTTAAACATGTCCAGTTTAAATGAAATCCAAATAGCCACATTTGGAGCATGGCAGGTGGTGTTAATGAAAGAGCACTGTACATGAGCTCATCTGATGGGACTGCGGCAATGCACCTGACCAAGTGTATGATAAGAGGTTGTACTTCTTTCTAGAGATAATTTGACTGTTCTATGACTGAAGGCTTTTCTAAATCACAGGTTTAAATTGTTACATTTCCTCACAGATACCCACAGTAAGAGGGTCCCACAGAAGGCCTGGAAAGGTATAATTAAATGCTGTTTGCACACATTTTTGATAACATTTTGTGTGGCAAAAACACACTGTTGCAATTAAATTCCTATTTCTTGATGTAGATTGTCATACATGAGCATGCTGAGTTTGTAGGGGAAGCGTTTGAGCTCTGCTGTGATGTAGCAGATGCCACCATGATGAAGCTGTCCCCTGTCATCTCAGTCAGAGTCATCAGAGGATGGTAAGGGTCATGATGCTTGTTAAAGGCAGTGCAAGAACATTATTTTCTGTTATTTATTGTGGTAGTGTAACTGATAAACAACCTGTCTATGCAGAGGATATGAGGGAACATTGCAGGTTTCCCTGCCCCCCTGTACTTGTTATACAGTTTTTCCATGATGCTCTCTGATTGTTTTCTGAACATGCCTGTTGTGTTCTCCAGTCCAGTCTGTGTTTTCTTTAAGTTTCCATAACCATGAATGTTCTGGAGCCATCCATGGAAATCATGTCACTATTAAACTATCTCTTTAGTTATTCACACACTGACATTAGTGAGATACATTTCTGATTTTTGATTTAATTCCATCCATCTATAGCTGGCTTCTCTATGAAAAACCTGGTTTCCAGGGGCGTATAATCGCCTTTGAGGAAGGTCCTACAGACCATATAGTGAATATGTGGGCAGAGGAGGAAACTCCAGCAACATTGGACCACATGGGTCAGCCTGTTCCAACAGCACCTATGGTCATAGGTTCTATCCGGTTGGCTGTTAGAGTAAGTTACTGTGTTCATTTGTGAGTCTGCATTGGTGTTACTTTTGTCACTGTTTGTCCTGTCCTGCTGCATTTCACCCCTTATGATCCCTGGGGACTTTACGATTAGGGCTGGGTATTGAACGTCAGTACTTTTTTGCAGGTATTAGCCAAAAAGTGAATGGGACTCCAGTACTGAAAATGGTCTAGTTCCAAAATATGTCATCAAATGGGCCATACTCCACTGATAATATTTGGAAATTTTGCACTTTATTTTGTATTTAGGTTTTAACATTTAAAAACATTACAAAAGTTTGGATTAAGGATAAGGAGTAAGGATTAAAAAAGACACTGCAGCACTGAAAAAATTATAGCTCATGTTTCGTAACCCAAACGTTATTTTAATGGCGCTGAAAATATCAAATGCCCAGTTAACCACCTTTATTTGTAAAGATGAATATTCAACTTAAAACTTGAAATTCTATCACCGTTTTATTTTCATCTTGTATTGTGTAGGACTACAGCATACCCAGGATTGACCTGTTCACAGAGATAAATGGGCTGGGGAGGATGACATCCTACTGTGACGACACTGTACAGATTGGCTCCTATGGGATCCCACAAAACACTGGCTCCATTAAGGTCTATTCTGGAGTGTAAGTTGACCTGAGTACTTACACGAACTGCTATTATTGCATCACTCATTTGAAGTAACAGGAAATATATATACTGTAAATGGGAATGCTGTGTTATGGAAATATCCTAGATACCATATATATCTAATGTTGAATAAGTTTCCTTGTCTGGGTAAAAAAAAAAAGAAAAAAAAAAAAAAGAAGAAGTACATGGCATTTTTCATCTGACATTTTTTGTTGATAGCTAACCTGCCACTTTAACTGGTAGTCTCGGGATCACAAAGGTGCAAACTTGGTGAAGACTGTATGGGAAAGGTTCTGTGTACAGCTTCTGTTTTCTGTTTATGAAGGAATGCAAGCTGCAAACAAGAGCTTATGGTTGTCACAGCTTTTCAAAAGTGAAAGTACTGTGGTTCATTCATTACTCTCATGAACTGTAACCTTAATCTCTAGTTGTGAAAATGTGCTGAGAATGCTGCCCTGCTCACATTTGCTTTCCCTTCTTCTTTTTCTGAACCTCTCTCTCACATATCTGCCTCTGTGTGTTTTTAGTTGGCTGGTATACACTGATCCAGGCTTTGAGGGTTTTGTAGGAGTGCTGGAGGTGGGAGAGTATGCCTGTCCAGAGAGCTGGGGCTTTGCTGAGCCCTACATCGGGTCTCTCAGACCTCTCCGAATGGTACAGTACTGTACATGAAATACTGATGTACTCGATGCTTGTACTAATCTCAGTTTGTCAGTTGTCTGACATATGTGTGCCTCTTCATTTCAGGGAGCAATAAAGGTGGAACATCCTAATGAAGTCAAGGTTTGCTCTGCATTACATGACAACTCTATCACCATCTGCTGTTCATAGAAACTAAACATGCTGAAGTGTCAATACAAAGTCTTATATGTTACATTTGTTGTAACTAGCTCCTACTGAAACCTTCAGAGAAAGGAAAGGTTGTTAGGGCTATTGAGTGCGAACCATGACTCATAAAAAGTGAGCCTAAGTATGTGTATCTATTATGATTCATAGTGTTTATGGCTTGGCTCAAATTCAAATGGGATTGGGAAACACAGCAGCATGTTCATGCATGCACATTGCTAAGTAGAAAAGAGAAGTCTTTTGTAAAGATCTCAGGTGTTACTGGAGAAAAGTTGAGGTGTGATGAAAGCATGGCTTCCTCGAAACAATTTGGTAGAAGAAGGGAACAGATTTTTACTATGGTTTTTAGCTAAAAAAAAATGCTATAACTTCAGATGAGAGTATATTTAAATCTTAGAGTCAAATTGTCTGTAAAGATAAGCCATGGACTATGGGATTTCAAAGGAGAGGTGTTTGAAACACATTTTTTGCACTCGAGGAAGCAACAATACAGATTCATCCTGATCATCTCTACTCTGTCTTGCGCACACACACACACACACACACACTTTATCTTTCTCATAATTTAAACAATAGTCAGGAAGCCAACAACATAACTAACATTTTTAATGCCAGTAAAACAACAGATGTCCACCATTGTTGGGCATATAGAGGCACCCAGTACCACCTTGGTTATCAAGGAAGCCTTGTACAAGTTGTAACAGCCACTGTATCTGTGCTTGACCAGTCAGATGTGTTCAGCACTGTTAATTCCTCCCACCTGAACCAGAGCAGGGAATTTCTACATTTAGGGATTTTTTTGCTATTCGTGCTCCACTGATTGAAACAGGTAAAATTCCTAAGTCCCTCGGAAGTTATTGGTTTCCTGGGACAGTTCCGTCAGCGGAAACACTTTCCTACATACATCACAACAAGAACACTTATTTACAGTATGCTGACAGCTCCAGCCTACAGTCAGTACTGTGTAGCCTGTGTACCCTACACAGACAGACAGATCTAAGACACATTATGCTAAGATACATTGTATTTTTCACTGTCAGCTGTGGAATGAATGGCATTTTGCCTTTGGACAAGAATGGACCAAAACACATATAGGGCCCCAAACTCATCTAAACATGTATAAGGCCTTTGTCTGCAGCTGAGACTCCTCTTTAACTCCTTCCTCTCTTTCTATTACCCAGGCCTTGGTGTTTGAAAGCCCCAACTTTGATGGAGAGTGCATTGAGGTAGACAGTGAAGTGTACAACATGTTAGGACAGGAAGAGGAGGAAACAGATGGGAACAAGAAGACACTGTCTGCAGTGGGGTCTATAAAGATACTTGGTGGTCTGTGAGTATCTCATGAAGTTAACATGAATCAATGCATGCTGTTTTTCCAGTGGTTATGGCTCAGAAATGGTGAATTGTAAGCACTTTGTTTGTCCTTGAAGCTGGGTGGGCTATCAAGAGGCAGGCTTTGAGGGTGAGCAGTACATATTGGAGGAGGGGGAGTATCCTCACTGCACTGACTGGGGAGGATCTGAAGATGGGCTCCTGTCACTGCGGCCTGTATACGCAGTGAGTGTCACCTGATATATTAACCTGTGAGATCCTTGGTTGTTGTTGTTTCCATATTTGACAGTAAGCATGGACTGCCGTGGTGGTTTTGCACTTCTGCTTCCAGAGTTCTCGGTAATGAAATGAGGTACTTGAATGCAGAGAACTGGTTTTTCACTTTCTAATTATGTATTACTGTTGTTATCTTCCAAAGGACTTCTTGTCTCCACATGTTAAACTGTTCAGCGAGCGGAACTTTGACCTCAGTGTGGACTTGCTGGTTCCCATCCTCAACATGGAGAACGTCGGCCATGGTGTCAAAACCCAGTCAGTCAATGTCATGGGTGGAGTGTAAGTAAGACTATGTCTGTAAAAAAACAAAAAAAAAAAAACAAAAACAAACCCATGAGGTTAAAATTCATAAGGAGGGAGGGAACCTCTTGACTTGGTTGTGCACACTTATGGTTTTTGGGTGTGTACTTCTTACCTTGCACAAATAGCTAAGTGTTGTGTCAGCGTACATACAAACATACACACCTATGAACCTGCACATACACATACAGCGCTACAGGATACAATTATGGGTAATCTAGTGTGACTGAGTCAGGTGTGTACTTGATATGTTAGGTTTAAGAAAAAATGGAAGAAGCTTCCATCTCTTGAGGGCAAGGATTTATAGTGATGAAAATAATAATAATGAATCTTTTGTTACAATTAGACATTACAAGCTTATTTTATTTTCAGCAAAGGAGGTCTTCACCTGAGTATAGTACATGCTGTACAGCAGGTGAAATTATAGTGAAGTACCAGCTTGTTTAGAAACAAAGCTTTCACTGCAGTTAAAACACATTTTGAAGTCAGTGATTTGTCTCAAATAATACATTTAAAATATGCAACAATGTTTTTAGTTACCACATTTTTTTCAGTCAACCAGCTGTACGTTTGAGCTGAATGAATTTGTTAGCGAGTTTCTTTAAATGTATCCCACCTTTGTGTGGCATTCTACTGTTTGCTGTAGCTCTGCCTCACCTGCTGTATCATTTTACAACCTCTTAGAGGCATGCACTTCATCTTTTTCCTGACAGCATGCAGCCCAAGTCAGTGATTTAATCAGAAAACCAATGCGTATGGCATGTTTTCTTAAGGCATAGAGTGACAGTATTATCTGTATTTGCCTATGTTAAAGGAGTTCTGATGAATTACTCCATCACTGTGGTGTTGTATATCTTAGCAATTTGTTTTTGTGCTCCTGGCAGATGGGTGGCATTTGAAAACCCTGGATTCAGTGGACAGCTCTATGTGCTGGAGAAAGGCCTGTATGCAAGCCCAGAGGACTGGGGAGCCCAGAACGCTCAGATCTCATCCATACAGCCAGTCTTTCATGTAAGAAAGGATTGGTAGTAAAGCTGCAGAGTTTAGTTGGTTAACGACAGTCAAGCAAATCATTTGATGGTTTGAGGTTCTTAAATGTCAGACTGTTCTGCTGTTCTCTGTCTTACATTTTGGACTGTTGGTCAGACATTTAATCACCTTGGGCTCCTGTTAACATGATGTGTACATTTCTGTCATGGGTGTGTAAACGGAATAACAGACTGTTTTCTGATACTTTAAACATTACTGAGCATATAACAGAGAGAACAATAAGCAGATGAATCATTAGCTGCAGCCCTAATTTGTAGGATGAGTTAGAGGATTCATACGGGGCATTTTAAAGAGAAAGCTGCTGTCACCGTAATGTTATTGTGTGTTTCTCTTATTACAAATCCTATGTTTGTAATGCTTTTGTTCTCTTCATTCTATAGGACATACTGATGGGAACTACAAAATTCAAGGTATCGTCCCTCCTTGCAAGGCTGTAGATAAAACATATTGATCCATTTCCACTCATCCCTCCTGTTGTATGTGCTGCCTCTGTCACTAAAGGCTATTTGAATGTGTTGCAGGTGCAGCTGTATTCTGAGCCAGACTTCCAGGGCAGGCTGGTGGCTCTGGAGGGCAGCACAGCAGCTCTGGATGAAGACTTCATGCCCAGGTCTTGTAAAGTTCTGGCTGGCAGGTAGGCACAACTGGATTGGCACAGAAAACTGCCTGAGACTATCAGTGGAATGATCTGTACAAGAGATTTTTCTTGGTTGGCATAGGTGGCAATAATGACTTTTATAAGAACAAAGTGAATACTACATTTACGGAGGAATCAAAGTACACTGCTCAAAAAAATAAAGGGAACACAAAAATAAGACATTCAACTATGTTGTGTTCCCTTTATTTTTTTAAGCAGTATATATAGACCCCTTCACTTTTTTGCACACTTTATTGTGTGTACTGTAGATTTAGACATAATGAAAAAGTGAAAACATTTTTAGTTTACAAGGGCAATGACCTGTGCATTTAAGGTGACAATGGTCGACTATAAAAATGTACAGGCTCACAGCTCCAAGAAGTGAAGGCACCAAAACATGGTCGCTCCCTGGTGGCTGGTTGCAGTATAGGCCATACATCCTGCCGCCTTCATATTACTGAATGGTACATGAGGCAGACTAAAAACTCAAAGTACAAATCAGATCATTTTTCCCCCGAGATCACTTCTGTGGTTTTTCTTCTATGGTAGTAGAGAATTCCCTAGAAATTCTGCTGGCAGTACTGGATTAAGGCTCTGAATACTTCTGTAAATTACAGATTTCAGTTCTAAATTTTTAAATAAATTACTAACATTTCTAAAAACCTATTTTCACCCATTTTGTTATTAGGTTATTAAGTGTGGATTGATGAGCAAAATGGCAATGTCATTACTGTACTTTCCGGACTATAAGCCTCTACTTTTGTCGCTTCATGCACACACCCTCATCATGGACAACACACAACGAAATGCATATGATGCCGCTTCAAGTTACAGGCGATCGATCTGGCTGTCAAAATATCTCACGTTACAATGTGGACACCTGCCGCTATGTACAACATGTTTTTCGTCTTACATTTAGTGGGTACGGCTTATAGTCCGGTGCGGCATATAGTCCGGAAAGTACGGTAATTTAAATCTGCATAATGCACATACAATAAAGTGTGCAAACAGTGTGTGAATGGAGTTTGAATACTTTCTGAAGACACTGTTACTGGCACCAGGTTTTTTTTTAGTTAATTTACATGCATCTCTGAGTTGAGTAAATTTTATAGCCTGTGGTGCTGGTGAGCTTTTAGAACCACACTGTATACTTGAGGGTCCCAGGGGGAACTGTAACTACTGTTGTTGATTTAAAATAGTAGAAAACACTGATGCAAGTGCCATGAGGTTGAATAGCAAGAGTAGTCTTCAAACACGATTTCAAACATACACTGAGTTACTGCTAAAACCTAAGAACATTATTGACAGGAACGGTAATGTTTGTGTACTTACTTTGTCAGCTGGGTGGCATATGAGGGAGCCAAGTTCACAGAGAATATGTACGTACTGGAGGAGGGAGAATATCCAAGTACAGAGGCCATGGGCTTCCTGTCCTCAGACTCTACCATCCACTCGATACAAACCGTTGGACATGTGAGTAGCGTGTATGTGGGTATATGAAAAAGAATGTGTGCGCCCTTTTTATCTATATAACAGCAAGAATCCAACTCTCTGTTCTTGCTCTACAGGAGTTCTCACTGCCCTCCATCATCCTGTTCAGTAAGGTTGGCTGTAGAGGTCGCAGAGTGGCTTTGACCAGTGGAGCTGTGAACCTTCTGCAGGCAGGCCTGGACACACACATACGCTCTCTGGTGGTGGAGGGAGGAATGTATGTGGCCATTTTTAAAATTTCCACTGTTAAGTTTTTGGTGTCTGTTCAAGGCACAATCACTAATCAGAATGTAATAAATAGGGGTATTGGAAAGAAAATACTCATACTACCACTAGAATTGAAGTTATTAATGTTTACCAGTTATGTTAAAGTTATTATAAAACTGTTTTAGAATATATTTTACTAATTTGGATAATAATCAGGTTGTGTTGCATTTAAATTTGTGTAGTAAAACTTATGTAAGGCAGTTTAAAATATATATTAAAATGAGCAAAGTTTTAACCCAAGCTCCTTTAACAGAAACCCATTGCTGCTGATGTGCTGAAGAAATGCAAAAGGGTTCAGTGGAAAAACATTGAAATTATTTTGCTTTTCCTGCAACAAGTTGGACAGGGACTCATGAAAGTCCCTTAAATGGTATAAGCTTAGCTTTTAGACCTGGACATGTTCTAATTAAGAACAGTGAACGCGTCAAAGGAAATCAATAAACCTCATCTGAGAATCATCCACATTTTTACGTGCAATGTTATAAAGCCACATTCACACACAGGCTGACTGTCTCATCTCCAGGTGGGTTTTGTATGAAGGCAGTAACTACCGTGGACGACAGCTGCTTCTTCAGCCCAGCGAAGTGGGTGATTTGTGCGAGTTCTGCGGCTGGCAGCAAATAGGATCCCTGCGCCCTTTACTCCAGGTATATGAGCCATCATAATAGTGACTCTAACAAATACTTCACATACTCTCTGAAACCTTGACCTTTGTTGGAAGATTTAGTTCAGATCAGTTTGACATGTATTCATGACTCTAATCAAACCATGTGATTCTGTATGCTTTGCTCCACCAGAAACAGACGTACTTTCATCTGCGGAACAGGGAGACAGGATCTGTGATGACTCTGACAGGAGATTTGGATGACATCAAGCTGATGAGGGTTCAGGCCTTAGAGGAGACAGAAGGAGTAGAACAGGTCTGGCTCTATCGGGACGGACAACTTACCTGCAAGGTACTCAACCATATCAACACCATAAAAAGCTGCTAAAACACTGGACATAGGACTGAGCCAGCCCAGAGGGGCTGAACTAAGACCCTGGGCTCTGCAGTGGAATTTTGCCACTGACCCACTCTACACATCAGTACAAAAAGTGGGGTCCTTTAGGTACAAAACAGCTGCTGTTTTTTTATTATTATTTGAAAGATAACATCTCTTTGGTTATTTAGTTACCTGTGTACCTGAAAACAAAGGTGTCATCGGAAATATGCAAAACAGGAAATGTTTTGTATACTGCAACATATTCATGAGAGGAAGCAAGTATGCTTTTGCACTGAAGTTCAGTCAGTTCTCACAGTGTTTTACTGGATATTTTGATTTGGCTTTAGGTGGAACCATTATTATTATTATATAATGAAGTAACATGATCAGAATACTGTGGTAGCTAAGGCATGTCATTCTGTGGCAGCTGTGATTTGTATTCTGCACTCTAAAAATGACAAATGAAAGAAAGACTTCTTTTGAAGAACGTGATGACACTACAACAGCTGGTTGATCTGCACTTTAAGCAACAAGAAAAATTAACCAGTTATTACTACTGCTTCTCTAGCTGTTGGAGGACTGTTGCCTGGAGACCTCAGGTGGTGTGATGATGGCAGGCAGTCGACTCTGTGTTTCCCCCGAGCAAGGCAAAGACAACCAGCTGTGGGATATTACCCCAGATGGTGTGGTGCGCTGCCACCTTAAACCTGAGCTGGTCCTGGAGGTCAAAGGTCAGAAAGCTTTGTCTTCACATCAGCACATAATGTTAGGGGGTTATTTTTATGGGATACTTTTAAATGATTCATGTACTCTGTGTGGCACAGCTCCAGTATGTGTTTGAGTTCTGATCCATTAGCTCCATCTCCTGGTGCTTTATGGAGATGCAGTGTTGTTTGTGCTGACTATTTAATAACCGGGATTTATTATTTTGTTTGAAAAAGGTCATGCTTACTCACTTCCTCCAAAGCCAGAGATTTATTCAAAGACCTCTGTTGACCTGATGAAGATCCAGAATTGGATCGCCTTTGAATAAATCTCTGGCTCTGAAGGAGGTGTGCAAGTGTTACCTTTTTATTGAGGCTTTATTGAATAGGTTGGCACCTATAGGTGATGTGCATACAACTCTTTTGCCTTGGTTTTCATTTTCCATAATGATTTCTACCGTTATGAAAAACAGCCGTTACAACAAACAAAAATCACATTGTTTTATGACCTTAAAACAGAGCTGAAAGTGCCAGATTCCATCTTCGTTTTCTGTATTCACAGAACTTAATCTGTGAGATGTTATAAGCTGTAGAGATGCACCAATCGATCAGCAGAAATGGTCGGTTTTCAGCATGATTATCTTGACCGGTGGACCGGCCGATCACTCTGAGATTTCTGATCTGTGCCAATCAGATACAGAGGTACGACAGTTCACCTCGCGCACGTAGTGGCACATAGCGTGTGCAGCCCATAGCATCTCAAGCAAGTCTTGCGCTTGTGTCTGTAGTGCTTTTTAGGACAAGGGAAAACTACATCCAGAACCCTGACAAACATTAATACAGTGCTTTAATTTTATATGTTTTTTTTTTTCATTAGAGAAAAGTTCCAAAAATCTCTGTGTATACTGTCAACTACCGTTCTTAGAAGGAAAATCAGAACTGGCAGGTCAAACAAACAAACAAAACAAAAAAAATTCAGAATCGGCCACGAAAATTGCAATCGGTTCATCTCTGGTAAAGCGTTTAAACATGTTTTATCATGTATAAACATCTGTTTTATTGTCTTTGTTTCCCAGGTGGTCACCAGTATGACAAGAACCAGGTGATTGTCAACACATTTGATGAAAGAAAGCTAAACCAAAAGTGGGCCTTGGAGATTCTGTGATCTGATGAGCTACAAACCCACACCAAAGACATGTGCTCTGTAGGGGATTGAAAACAAACACTGCACTCTTTTAGTAATTATTGAAAACCATACTTTTAAAAACATGCATATAGTACTTGATGAAATGTTTCCTATTTTGAGAAAGTAAAATACTGCTAATTCATAGCCACTTGATTTCAGACACTGAATACCAAAGGCCCCATGACCTGTCTGTTCTGACAGCATGTAGTGACAACTCAGCCCTGTTCAATGCTGCATACCTGTCTTTGCTTTATAGTACTTTTCTAAATATGAATGAATACTATACATTGACAGCTGCAATATAAAGCTGGATGTGCCTACAGATGTTTTCTTTTGTAATTAGTGCTGAGCAAAGTTTTATCTTTTTAAGACTTTCATACTTTTAAACTGCACCGCATTCGGTTGTACATAAGCACCAAGTATATACTAAGTATGCTGATTGTAAATATGTGAAGAAAACTGGTACACATGAGGATAAAAATGTGATTTTCATTTCTGTATCTTTTTCAGTAAATAAAACTGTTGCCTTTAAGTTTGAATTACCTGTTTCTGGGGTTTGGTGTGGAAAGCTAACTTGTGGCACAGACCATTCACTACCACCCCCGGGTGCATTTAGGTAAAATGATTGCATGAAGAACAAAATAACACCTAACTGTGCTACAGGTTGCACAACAACACAAACTGTGTACAAACTTAATCAGAAATTTCACAAAGACCACATGCACAGGGGTTTTGTGTTGGAATCCATCATTTTGTTCATTATTTTGTCCAGCTCTTATATTTGAAGCCTTCATTTCTTAGATGACTAACAGTGTTGTACAGCGTATAGACACACACATACATACACTACCAGTCAGGTTTTTTGACTGGTAGTGTTCATACATACATACATTTATAGTATATAATGATAGTGTGTAAATGATCACTTTATTTTAATTAGCTAATGTTTTTATTCAAGTCGATATAAAAAACTAAAACACTTAAGCATATAAAAGTACAATAGCTGTAGTGCATATATACATAACAGTCAAACATACTGTAGTAACCCCACACGGCAGGGGCAATAGTACTAATAACCTTGTTCATGTACCTTTCTGCAACGGGAGACACAATGCACTCATTATTTTCATTCATTCATTTAATTTGTTTTATAATTGTGCAAAAAAGTCATCTCCCTCTTTGCTGACCTGGACAACAGTCTTTCCTCGGGCGTGACCTTTCTCCACCTTCTCGAAGGCCTGGGGAACCTGGGAGAAGCTGAATGTCTCCTCCACCACTGCCCGTATCTGACAGAGAGGAGACAGAAGAAGGCAGAGCAGAGGTAATGCAAGCCTCGTTTCTTATATTCTATGAATTACAATACAAGTGAGAAAAGCAGTAGTCTGTTGATGACATGTCCTGTAATGATGATGAAAATGATCTAAAGGCTTTTATGGCAGCATGTAAACTTTCTATCATGCCGAGTTCTCCAAAGTGAGCTGACAATAGGGCCTATAAAGAAGACTACACCCAATTCTAAATAGCTGTCTCCTACCAACACTGACATGCTGCCCCATATTTTTTTATCTCAAACCATGTAGAAGGACTATGATGAAGTGAGAGACCACACAGAAATAGTATCTGTGCAGAGGCTAAGACGACCCTGATCTGAACTACACAGTATTTCACAGCAATGTCCAACTACAAAATAAGACATTAAATGTTTAAAATGAGAACTGGATACACAAGTTCATCATCAGTCACTGCAATATATGTGTTACTGTACCTGTCCTGCATCCACCATCTCCCTAATTTCATCCAATGCAGGACCACTAGGGGCAAAGAATCCCCATCGGTAGTGAACTCCTTTAACAAGGTGCTGCAAGAAAACGGAAGAAGAGAAACTTGTGTGGCAGAAATGTCTTATGATATTAAGTTGACAGTGACAGCTTGTAAGGTAATATGCATCCCCCCCCAGGGTAAAACACTGTATTCTGATTATCTGATTGTACAGTATTTTCTTCTTCCTGTAGTCTAGGCCTCAGCAATTGTTAAGCACATTCCCCCAGGATGTCAGATTTAACACTATGCAAAGCAAATGTAGCCTAATGTTTTAAAAAGTGTGCTCACTATGTGTGACTGTGGCACTTGCTTGAGGTCCCAGATTCATGAGTGATGAGTTGATTTAAAAATAACAGTGTACAAAGGCGAGTCTTAATTATCTGGGGGGGTTACAGTAAAATGTGTCTTAACTTTAAAATAAAAAGATGGAAAAAGGAACCACTCAGAACCTCCAGGATACACAGAGATCCAGATTTTCTAACCTGTTTACATGTGTGTGTGTATATATATATAAAATAAAAATACTGAACACAGGCCTACAGTCAAAGAGTTGACATCCTGATATATAGTTTGCTATAAGGTTCAAGGATTTTATTGTCAATCCACCATATGTGCAGGACATACAGAAAATCGAAATACCGTTTCTCTCTCACCTAGGATTGGGTGCTATAACATTTAGGAACTAAAATAGAATAAAGTAGAATAAAAATAGAATAGAATAAGAACTGGATT